TAAGTATAATATATATTATATATTAAGTGAATGCATTATATGTAATAATTGAATGATATTATTCAGCCTTAAAAAATAAGGAACTCCCTGCCATTTCCAGATTCATAGGGATGAATGTGGAGGCCGTGATGCTCGATGAAATAAGCCAGATGGAGAAAGGCAGATACTGCCTGGGATCACTTACGTAGAGAAGAAAGAAAGAAAGAAAGAAAGAAAGAAAGAAAGAAAGAAAGAAAGAAAGAAAGAAAGGGAGAAAGGAAGAAAGAAAGAGAGAAAGGGAGGGAGGGAGGGAGGAAGGAAGAGGGAAAGAAGGAAAGAGAGTCGAACTCACAGAAGCAGAGGTAGAACGGTGGTTCCTTGGGGCTGGGTAGAGATAGGGGAAAGTGAGGTGGGGGGAGATTAGCAAAAGGTTTGTGTTTGAAAACCGCAATAACAAAAGAACCAAAAAAGGAAACATTTGGAGACCTCTATAGACTACAAAGCTAATTGCAGCGGAAAAGCCCTTGCCTGTGCTACCATCTGCTCCCTTTTCCAACCAAGGGGCGGTGTGGACGGAGCAGTGGAGGTTCAGACACTCTGCCGGGTACCCAGCTGGCCCAGTGCGGATCAAGCGCACCCAGAAACTTTGTCCAGGACGTAGAAGTGATAGCGTGTCACCTAATAGACCATCTCGCAGCTTCTAAAAAGAGATCAATTTGGACTGAGGTAGAAAGATGCCCAAGGTGCAGTTAGTGGAAAAAGCAAATGGTAGGGGGGCCTGGGTGGCTCAGCCAATTAAGTGTCTGCCTTCTCTGCTCAGGTCATGATCTCAAGATCTGGGATCGAGCCCCACATCAGGCTTCCTGCTGAGTGGGGAGTCTGCTTCTCCCACTCCTTCTCCCCCTCCTTGTGCTCTCTCTTCCTCTCTGTCAAATAAACAAATGAAAAATAAAAAATAAGTGAATGGTAGAAGAGTGTGCAGTATCAAATAAACATAGATACGTGGTTCTATATTCATAGAAAACTTCTGGTAGCAGTGTTTACCTCTAGGAAGTGCTCCTGGACAAAACAACCCTCTTTTAATTTACTTTTTAATGTAGTAGTCTAAATTTTTAAAAATTATAAACATGTATTGTTCAATTTTTTGAACTAATTCTAAAACATTCTAAAATTTTTGAACTAATTCTAAAACATTCAGGCTTTTTGAAATTCCTTCTTTGATTTTTTTAATGAGGAAATACATAGCATTTTGTACTGAGACGGCCATGACAACGTTGATTCAAACGGTATAAGGCTGGAAATAGATGTGCAGCATTAAGGGAATGGTTAAGTAAATAATGGAAAATTGACTGTAATATAATGCAGTCTTTTAAAAAATCAATATTCTGAGAATTTTAGCCAGATGGGAAAGGCTGGCAATACATGAAGTGAAAAAACAAACAAACAAACAAACAAAAAACCCCACAAGACCTATGTAAATTCAGTGTTAATATCAACAATGTTAAAAATATGTAGGGGAAAAAGAAAAAAAAAAAAAAGCCTGGAAGAAAATATCCCCAACTGGCTACAGTGATTGCCTCTGATAGTGAGTGAGATGATGGGGGATTTTTCTCTTTCTGGACCTGTGTATTTTCATCTTCTTTTCCATTTTTGTGCAACGAGCATGCATAATTTTGTAATGTGAACAAAAAGAAAGTAAAACACTGCGAAAACCATTATATGCCTTCCTGGCATGAGTCAGGAGCTGAATTTTCATGTTTAAATTAGTTTCAGAAACACAGGAGTGGTTTCTAGGCAACCTGCTTGGGAAATCGCGCTCCTTTCCATTGTTGCTGGAGTGTGCGTGAGCGTCTCAAAGAAAATGTAAGAGATGAACCCTTGCGAAAGCAGACTCCTGCTAAGGAAAAACAAGCTTTGCCACTCCGTTTTGGTCACAGAGACTTGAGTTCTCGTGACCCCAGAGGCACAGAGGGACCCGAGTTTTGTGGGCTTGTGTGTGTGCACATGCGCGTGTTGGCAAATGAGGGATTGATTTGGATGAGAATTGCCATAGGTGGTAGAGCACATTAGTTATTCAAGTCTCTGCCTGTGGTGTGAGAAACTGGGGTAGGGGGTGGGTTTGTGGGGGAGACACAGGAACCCAAACCAATAACCCCAGGTGGATGGCTTTCCTGAGAATCCGGGGCTGGGAATTCAGACAGGGACAAGGCTTTACACGACGGATGGCAACTCAGGATGTGAAAAGATTGCCTCATCATCGTGTGAACCATTTACTATCATTATAGACAATCCTGCTGAGCCAAAGGGCTTTAATCAGGAGAAAACACTGAAAAATGGAATCGGGGCTAAGAAACCCTTGGCCCAGCCTGATGGGCCGTGGAGGATGGGATGAGTTAAGAATGCTTTTTAGCCTCAAGGGAGCCATGTTCTTTACCAAGAGACTGCAGAAGGTACAGAAGGTACTCTTTCCAGCTCGCAGTGTGTGTTTTGTGGACCCTGGCTTCAGTTTTCGGCAGGAATGGCAGGCATTCTGCTTGATAGAAAGGGTCCGAGCTCAGCTTCTCGCTCCTGGGCCCCCTCGTGGTTGTCTCTTGCAATTACAAAAGTTAAGTAAGCAGGTAAAGGGCAGGCATTTGGGATAATGATAGCCTTTGACGAAGGGTTACTGCCTTTGACCTTGGCAACCCTGAGACTTTGTCAAAGCACAAGGGTGGGGGGAGCGGATGGCTGCAAATCAGGCCTCAGGAAGGAAAGCCCCGGTTCATCATAGAGGGTGGGGCAGGAGGGCAGGAATCTTCCCAAGTGGATGGTAATGAGCTGCTTCTGTCTCCACACCTTTTTTTTTTTTCTCCTGTCTCCACCCTTCTGTACCCATATCCTGCATTCCACTTAGTAATAGTCCACTGGGTCTGGTTAACCCTCCTTTAAGGGACAGACACCTGGAGGGGAACGGAAGACGGAGACATTATAATACTTACCGACCCTCCTCTTGTGGTAGCTCTTGAGGCAAAACTCGTCTCTTTTCATCTTCCTACCTAGGCCTTAGCACACATGTTTGTGCTAAACATTTGCAGTCTCGAATGGTGTATGGAGGCCACGAGAAGACTGAGGTGCAGAGAGGTTAAGGAGTGCCTGAGATAGCTAGCTGTTAAGTAGCAAAACAGAAACTTAAACCCCAAACTGGAAGAATCTATTCTTTCTACCAAGATGCTCCCCACTCCCACCCCATGCTCTCTAGCTCGAGGGGCTTGCCGGCCCAACCTGTCTGGGGAGATCCTCTCTCTGCCCTTTGAGTCAGTCTGCCCTGGGGGCCAACGTCTTCTCCCTTTTCTGAACTTCTCCTTTGGCAGTGAGTCAGCCCTCTGAGGCATATTCTTCTTGTATTACTTGTTTAACTCCTGTTTATTTATTTATTATTCAGCTTTTCTTAGAAATTTGTCTTTTTTTTCCTCCATAGACACCTTGAAGAAAGGAACAATGAATTAATTCTCCCATAAACTCTTTACCCAGCATTTAGTAAATATTTGCAGGGAGACTAAATTAAGTAGCAGAGTCCTGGTCGGAGTTTTCCTCCCCGGGTCTGTTTGTATTAGGAAAATAGCAAATGCCTTTTATTTTAATGATTTCACTTATTTCTTAGAGACCGAGAGAAAGAGAGAGAGAGAGAGAGAGAAACCCCGCTCACGAGTGCCGGGGTGGGGGTGGTGGGGGTGGAGGTTGGGGGGGGGGCGGGGGTTGGGACAGAGGGAGAGGGAGACGCAGACTCCCTGCCCAGCACAGGGCTGGATCCCATGACCTTGAGATCATGACCTGAGCCAAAGGCAGACACTTCACCAACTGAGCCACGCAGGCACCCGAGTAGCAAACGATTTTAGTTTTTATCCAAAAATATTTATAATCATCAAAAATAGTTGTGACTTTTCCCCTTTGCCAAAGGGCTTGCTGCCCAAGATAAGTTAAATCTGGATCTCTCTCCGGGAGTGAAGGGTCTTGAGCACTCGCGTGGCTTTGCTGCAACTGCACTGCATCGGGGTCGAAGGTAGAGTCTAAGCCCACCTGGCTCCTTCCCTTCTCCCTGGAATCTGCAGGCTCCCAGGCCAAACCCAGCTCACCCCTTCGGAAACAGGGTTCCGTTCTGACAAGCCGGAACATCGCTGGAGCTGGGAGCGAGTAGAAGCTTCTCTGCCAGGTGCATTTACATCCGGGTTTCATCTTCCTCTTAAGAGAGCCTCGCTGGCGCAGGTACCTGCGTGGGAAGGTGAAGACGCAAAGCGCTCAGCTCCTGCCATCCTCTCACAGAGGACATGGGGCCGGGCTGTTCCTCGAGGGAGGCGGACCACCGCTGCTTGGGGAAGTGCGGCATGGGGGCAGGAGGTGAGCAGGGCCCTCAGAAGAACTCCTGACAGGCTCTTGCCACTATGATCATGTATTTCATGAGCATTTATTGGACACCTCTTGTATGCCAGGCACTGGGAATGCCAAGACCAGTAGAGCTTTGGGGAGGTATTCAGTCTGGTTGGGGGGAACAGCCACGTAAGCAGTTAAAGAATAGGATAGGCGCTGTAATAGAAGCATGTAGGAGAGACCTCAAGAACACAGAGAAGGAGGTCCAGACGTCTGCCCCAGGGGTTGGAAAAAAGCTTCATGGATTAGGCAACTCTCAAAAGCAGTCTTGAAAAAGAAGCAATTGTTCCCTGGTTGGGCAAGGCAGGTTGAGTACTCTAGGCTGAGGGAATAAGGTATAAAACAGGATTGGGGGGGGGTGCTGCCAGTCCTCTGAGGGTAAAGCTCCAAGAGGAAGGCGGGTCTGAGAATATGAAGGGCTGTGTCTCAGAGTGGAGCTCCCGCCTCTGGAGGATGAGGTAACATGGAAGGATTTCAGATGGGCTGGAGATTGTGTCATGGTCAGATGTCAAAAGATCTATGTAATTACAATGTGGAGGAGGGACTGGAAGAGGAAGTGGTTGAGGAGTAGGGCCATAAGGCCTTAGGAGATGAGTTCCCATGAAGCCTGGTGATAGATGGGGGGTGGTGGTTTGTGAGGGCAGTCTAGGCCAGATCCCAGTTTGGGCATGGGGAGGTGGGAATGTTGGTTCCATTCACCCAAATCAGGAACACGTGGGAGAGCTGGGGAAGGTCGGGGAGCAGGTAGCTTAAATTGTGACCATGTCTAAAGGGCATGTAGGACATCCCAGCAGAACAGTCTAGCTTGGTATGTGGGAGTCTGTGCTCAGGGAAGATGTTGGATTCTGATGGAAGAAGGCTGGATTAGGCTTCTCTCTCTGTAGACATTCAATAAACATTGTTTTGAGTAGCTAATTAATGATTACAGGGCTTTAGGAAAACAGAATGATGTTGCAGTGTAAATGTGCATGCTCTTACAGTAATGGACTGATGGTTCCAGAAAAGCTCAAGCTAAATAACACTAATTTTTTCCTGCTATAAATAAATCTTCTGTAGTCGGGGTTTTCAATTACACAGTGAAAAGCAAGGCAGCAGGGGAAATGGGGAAGGGGAGTATATGGAAGGCGTAGCCTGCTTGCAGAGTGAAAACGTGAGCAAGTTGCAGCCCAAATGGATAAGGAGTAATCTGATCCAGTGGAAAGGAGATGAACGTCTAATATTCTGGGTTTGAGTCCTGGTTCCTCAACTGACTCGTTATGTGTCTATTATATTAATAGATGCGTAATGAGTGTTCACTGCCTCCTTTTAGAGGTACACTCATGTTTTAAGCTCAGAACGACCTCCTGGTAGGTCCTTTTTGATGCTTTCTTTGCAAATGAATCAACCAAGCACAGGGAATTTAAGTGACTTACCCAAGGCCACTCAGCTGAAAAATGGCAGCTCTAAGATTCGAACCCAGACAGTCTGGGCCCAGAATCCTTTTAGAAGCAATTAACTGCTGTACTCTTCTGCCTCTCCAGGTAAAAAAGTTAGGAAATTTCACTGTTCTGGGCCTTTGATTTCTTATTAGTGCATGGATTTTTGTGAAGGGCACGTAGCATAATTTATATTAGGCCTTAATTATAGGGATGTACTTTCATTGTGCTCTCCCATAATTAGCCCTTCAAGGAAGCAGTGTTTAAAGATTTGTCCCAAATCCCCCTTTTAGGGAAAGCTTTGGGAGTTCCTGTAATTATGCGACTTTGTGTTTGCAGATCACAGCAGACTATCTGAACAGAATTATCACTTAGCATTAGAGATCCCTGTTTATGGAATTTGGCATAATACTACTAATCATGGGCTCATGAGGAAGAGAGCCCTTACTTCTATCCCAGATCTGCCACTTGGTTATGTTGCTTAAAACTCTCCATGCTGGGATGGCTGGGTGGCTCAGTTGGTTGAGGGTATGACTCTTGATTTGAGCTCAAGTCATGATCTCAGGGTTGTCAGATCGAGCCCCACATTGGGCTCTGCTCTCAGTTTGGAGTCTGCCTGAGATCCTCTCTCCCTTCGCCTCTGCCGCTCCCCTGCCTTCATGTTCTCTCTTTAAAATGAATAAATAGGGGTGCCTGGGTGGCTCAGTGGGTTAAGCCTCTGCCTTTGGCTCAGGTCATGATCCCAGGGTTCTGGGATCGAGCCCCGCATCGGGCTCTCTGCTCAGCGGGGAGCCTGCTTCCTCCTTTCTCTCTGCCTGCCTCTCTGTCTACTTGTGATCTCTGTCTGTCAAATGAATAAATACAATCTTTAAATAAAAAAAATGAAAAAATAAAATCTTAAAAACAACAACAACAACCAAAAACCTTTCCATGCCTGCCTCCTCATCTGTACATGAGATAATAGTAATAACTTTGTGAGGCTATAAGGGTACAGTGGTAAGGAGTTCATAATCCAGGGTAAGAGTCACTGAGTTTAATACAAACAGGCGTATGAAAATTGGGGGAGGTGCATTCTAGGAAAAAGGAACTGTAGAAGGCTTGCTGGCAGGGAACTTGGAGCATGTGATAGATGACAAAAAGTTCAATGAGACCATCTCATAAACTTATTAAACAGCTAGCATTTTTTCACACCTTCAAAGTCAGCATTTCTCTCTTTATGTAGTACATATATAACTAATAAAGAAAAACTTGGGGCGCCTCGGTGTTTCAGTGGGTTAAGTGTCTGACTCTTGGTTTCAGCTTGGGTCACAATCCCAGGGCCCTGAGATTGAGTCCCGCGTTGGGCTCCCTGCTCAGCAAGGAGTCTGCTTCTCCTTGTCCTTCTGCCCCTCCTCCCACTTGTACTCTCTCTTTCTTGCTCACTCTCTCTCAAATAAATAAAATTAAAATAACTAACTAACTAAATAAATAAGGAGCAAAACTTATGTTTTTAAGGAAATAATTTTCTCCAAATATTTAAGTGTTGATCACAAGCCTAAATCAAGTTCTTCTATCCATTTAACTAAAATCACAACAGGAACACACTAGATTTTCTTAAATGAATCCAGTGTCTTAAAAGCCTGATAAAACACACATGAGTTTTGCAATGATTACAGAAATTACTGTGCAAAATTTATTTTTACACAGTAAAAATCCATTTACATGGATTAATCCTTAAAATCCATTTACATGGATTTAAGGTTGTTTGTTCATCATCTCCATTGTTATCCATATTTTATTTTACTATTTTTTTAAAGATTTTATTTCTTTATTTGACAGAGAGAGAGATATCACAAGTAGGCAGAGAGGCAGGCAGAGAGGGAGAGAGGAGGAAGCAGGCTCCCTGCTGAGCAGAGAGCCAATGCGAGGCTCGATTCCAGGACCCCGGGATCATGACCTGAGCCGAAGGCAGAGGCTTAACCCACTGAGCCACCCAGGCGCCCTGTTATCCATATTTTAATTCTTGTTTTATTTTGTACTTTCCCGGGATCCCTATTTCTACAATTTATGGTCACAATAATCATACACGTCACCCACACACAGACACACACATGGGCGCATGCCCCTTGCCCCCCACCAAAATTCAGACTAGCCATAGTTGCAGATTCTGCTATTAAATGATTGATTCTTGGTGGGGATACCCAACCTAGCAATTCAAGCCTGCACAATTGTCTCTAGGCTGAGCCTTTTAAAAAATAATCAAGTCTCATTTCTGATGTCACAGGGATTTTAAGTTTCTTTTACATTCAAATAGATTTTGAGTTTTAGAAACCAGAAACCTATATTCCTTTAAAGTTCCCACAATCTCTACTCACCATCCCACCATTCAGCAGTTACTATACACTGATCTGGTCTGTCAGTTTAACTGGCCATACTTTATCTGTACCTTATTTTCATTATAGAATCATCTAGAGCCTTGCTACTCAAAGTGTGGTTCGGGAACCAAAGCGTATCAACACCTCTTGGTGTGAAGATCTCAGCTTCACCTCAGACAAGCTAACTCAGAACCTGCATTTTAACAAGAGATCCACCCACCCGTGATTTGACTGCACTTTAAAGGTAAGAAGTACTAATATGAAGATTTCATTGCCCTGAGGATGTCAGTCCCTTTTCAGTGAGTGTAATTAATTTATCATCTCAGAACCCACTTTCCCTTACAGGTTTTTACTTACAGTATTTTAACTGCAAGGATTTTTCTGCTACACTGACCAAGAGAAGAGGGCCTGGGACTGAATCTGAGAAATCCAACATGGAAGAAGGGGATAGATGAGGACGAGATGCCCAGAAAGGTAGGAGAAAACCGGGTGGGCTTGACTCACGGAAGCCCAGAGCAATGACCTTTTAAGGACATAATATTTGTCAGTTTCTCTTATCACGCTGACAAGCATGTAACGAGAGCCCTCCATGAAGATTAGCCATTGTTCCTGCTGTGGGTAGTAGTAGTAATTTAAGTTTTTTTTTTTCTTTAAAGGTTTTTTGTTTATTTACTTGAGAGAGAAAGAGAACGAGCAGGGGAGGGGCAGAGAGAGAGGGAGAAGCAGACTCCTTGCAGAGCAAGGAGCCCGATGGGGGTCTCAATCCCTGGACCCTGAGATCATGACCTGAGCTGAAGGCAGACCCTTAAGCCATGGAGCCACCCTGGTACCCCTAGGAGTAGCAGTAATTTACAAATGAAGAACGGATGCTATCTTGGATAAGCTGGAACAACTCAAGGAACATCATCGCAGAATTTTCCACAAGAGCCATTTTCCTGATCTCTCTTGGGTATTGAATGAAGAAGGGCTCATTTGGAGGATGACCTCAGTAAAAAATAAGGTCAGAGGAAACAGTCTGTTTGCTGGAGTGTTTATGTTTCCTTTGGAGGGCAGGGTGGGTGATAACATGCGTAAGCAAATTTACTTTTTAAAGAATGCCACAATTTTTCTTCCACTCTGTTTACTGGACTTTGACCATAGCACCCTATGCATTTGCTATTTTTTTTTTTTTTAATGTAAGCAAATGGTTTGAATGCGGTTTTCAAATTCATCTGCCCTATAGGAGTGAAAGGTCTAGTCCTAAAACCCCAGGAGAAGAATTCATTTCTCTGAGACCTTCCTGAAATACTCTTTTGCTCTTGCAGACTTGTGCTCTGTTAAACATTAATCTGGCTAAGGGATGAGGAAAGAATAATGCAGGGACATTCTAGAAAGTACATTGATCAGGACAAACTGAATGTAATAATCGGCTTCATAACTTGAGTACGTTAGTAGACTGTATTACATGAGCACTTAGCTATTAGCCAGCAGTCCTGTAGACTCAGTCTTTGAGCTGTTCTATTTCCAACTGTTCTCTGTGTGTCTGCGCCATCGCTTTAGAGCTGGTTAAAAACCACGGATTTTACTTATGACGTTATTCGGAGTGTCTCGTGTGGGGCCCTGCGGGGAGTTTACAGAGACACCTGGTGGCCGGTAAGGCGAAGTCCCCTGGCTTTGTTAGGAAAGAAAGGATCTGAATTGTGTCTAAAATCTGGGTCATTTTTGTGGTTGAGAATTTCATTCTTTCTTCCTAATCTTTTAGTGGGATCGCAGCCACACATTTACAAAATGGACTTGGATTCTTACCGATGATTTTTATGGCCTCCGGCCTCTCTTTCCTTAAGGAAACAATCCACCCCGTGAACTGACCAGCACCATCAGGGGGACTAAAATCTCGCCGAGGCTAGAATGAGGGCGAGGCAAGAGTGCTGAAGGCGGTGCCATTCAGTGACAAATATGCACAGCGTTTTAATGCCATATTCTAGAAAAATCAAAATCGATCCAAAAAAAAGTCATTATCAACAAAAAAATGTCAAAATTATAAGTAGCAGGGCCAGTATTGCTGATTTTCTCTTTGAGCTCAGGCTCCCATATGGCTCTGAAAGGCTCTGAGAGGAGTGAAGGTTCTGGTGGCTTTCCCTGATGGCCTATCCCCAGCCTGGCTCATTCATGGTCAGTGGATCCATGTCCACCCCCTCTCCCCACCCAGGGTTTCCCTTGTCCTTCCAGTGGCTCTTCAGGTCTCCTCCCATTCACGTGAAGAGTGGGGACCCAGGGTCAATAGCACTGATACGCAAGAAGAAGAAACGAAGAATAGAAAATTCACAAGCAGCCTGGATGGGGAACAACTGGGAATTCTGTCTTCCAGTTCTCCTGTTTTATTTGTCGGGACCCTCTTTCCTCTACCTTCCTCCCAAAGACGCTTCTCAGAGGCAGAGACCTAAACCATTCATTCCCACTGAGGGGCTTTTTGCGAGGCTTCTGAGCCCAGGAGACCCGGGCACTGAGGGCAGGTGCCCGATGTCGCTGGAATGACGTTTGCTGTGGTGAGAAAGTCCCTCATCACACCTTTTCTGTTTTTAAGCTGGCCAAGACAAGGGTGGGGGTGGGGTGGGGTGAGTGAGGACCTGGGCCCATGGAGACATGCTGCTTCTCAGGGGGCGCACACTGGTGTGAGATGTTGGCAGCCAGAAGCTCCCAGGATAGCCTGGGAAGAGTGTGAGAGCTTGGTCTGCATGGTGCTGCCTCTGCCCTGCCCCTTCCCCTTGGTGAGAACCGACTACTGGAACTGACCGGCTACAGTTAACAGAAGAAGTGACCCCTCCCGCCTCTTCCCTGCTTGTCTCTCCCCTAACCCTTGCCTGGTCACCAGAGACATGGTCACTGGAAATAGTAGGAAAATATGATGTAATGGTGGCCACACGAGCTGCTGTGAAAGGGGAAGGAAAGCCGGGGTAGTGGGTGGGTAAGAACATACTGAGGCAGGAAGGATCAGAAACTCAAGAAAAAGGAAAATTTCAGAAAGCCCCGAGAAGCAAGTGGCCTAACAGGGAAACCCAAAGGGTCTCATAGATACCGGGCTCCTCAGCATGTAGCGAAAAAGGACTCCAGCAATAAGAGGAAGTCAAGGGGTACTCACTCTAAATGACCATGTCAAGTCTTACTGCTTTCAAATATATTCCCTTGGGGGGTTGCAGGGAGAACAGTGTGTGCCCTTCCACAAAGCACTGACACCAGAGCCTGCCGTGGTCTCTGGATCACTCACCTGGACACATCGGATACCCTGTCTCGTGTATCAGCTGATCTCCTGACCCAGAATGCTGCATATCCTGCATATCCCTTATCACCTGCTCATGTCTCTTCATGAACGTGGCCCTTCTGTTGGCAACGCAATGGGTCTCTTTTTACCCATAGAGGTTCCGCTGACCACTGGAGCCCATGTAGTTCAGCAGGGGAATTATACTGGCATTTATAGAGAGCCTCTTCTTAAATTTTTATTTATTTATTTTTATTTGGGAGAGAGAATGAGGGAGAAAGAGAGCACAAGCAGGGGAGGGTCAGAGGGAGAAGCAGACTCCCTGGTGAGCAGGGAGCTTGAGGCAGGATTTGATGATCCCAGGACTCCAGGATCATGCCCTAAAGCGAAGGCAGTTGCTTAACCAACTGAGCTACCCAGGCCCCCTATTGAGAGCCTCTTCTAGGCCCACTTTGTGCTTGCACTTTACCTCTTTCCTCTTTAATCCCCCAAGTACCTTTTCAAGTAAATATTATAATGATCATTTTTAACAAATGAGAAAATGGAGACTCAAGAAATTACGTGACTTGCTCAAGCTCCTATGATCAGGAAGTGGTGGTCCCGGGACTTGAACCGGGGCCACAGGACTCCTTCTATGTCTTCATATTTTTTCTGTTGAGTTAGGTCAGCAGAGACATGGGAGAGATGCCTTTGCTCCCGCCTCCGGCATCCATCACAGGCGCTGCTAACTGATCTTGGTGGTGGCTTCCCTTGGGTACCACCCTGTATAAGACACAGAGTGCATATAGAGAAGTAGAAATTATGACCCACATTCTCTCAAGAAATTTTGCTTTGACCTAGGTTAAAATATTACACAGCACTAGAGTAGTAACGTAAGGCTGAAATAATCCCTGAGCCATGAACGCTAATGAGATTCTGGGAAGCTTATTAATCATAGGATCCACCATCCTTTGTCTGAGAGCTGGCCTTCTCCCCACTTTTTAATTCCTTGGATTTCTTTTCTCATTTAGGTATTACTCATTCAGTCAAAAAATATCTTCTCTGAGTAGGAGAGTACAGCCCAGAACTGGGCCACATCCCACTCTCCTGGAACTTAACTTCTGGTTGGGAAACATACCATGAACAAGCAAGTGCACATACACACACACCTGCCTTAGAGGCTCGTACATGCCATGAGGCAGCAAAGCAAGGAAGAGATAGAAGGTTGAAGTGTTACTGTGGGGAGGGTGCTCAGGGAAGGACTTTCTGATAAGGTGGCATTTGAGCTGAACCAAGAGGGAGGAGAGAGGAAGAGTTGAGAGACTATGTCCAAGGGTGCCCCATGCAGAGGGAGTCAAGAAAGTGAAGGACCCGAGCAAGAGTGGCTATGTTCATGGAATAGCAAGGGGACCGGTGTGGCTGGGGTGGAGGAAGCGAGGGGAGCAGGTGTTGGAGATGGGAAATCAGAGACCTTACAGTCACTGGTAAGACTTTTGACTTTCACTCTGGGCACAATGAGAATCCACCAGGAGGGCTGAGCGGAGAGGTAACATGGTCAGACTTATACTGGCCTTACGTGGAGAATTGAATGTGGGGCAAGGTTTGCTGTCAGAAAGTAAGTCCAGTGGAACCAGTGGAACCAGTGGGATTCAGGGATGGCTTGACCCAAGACCCCAGTGGTGAGTGGAAGACAGATGGCTGGCTTCCAGAAATGCTGCGAAGATGGAGCAGCCCGGATTTGTTGACAGATTGGATGTGGGGTGTTAGGGTCTGATTTGTGTCTCCCCCACATTTGTATGTTGAAGCCCTAATCCCTGGCACTTCAGAACTTGGAGATAAGATCTCAAAAGGGGTGATTAATGTGAAGTGTGAAGTGAGGTCATTGGGGTGGTGCCTAATCCAGTATGATTGGTGTGTTTATAAGAAGCAGAGATTAGGGGATGCCTGGGTGGCTCAGTGGGTTGAGCAGATGCCTTTGGCTCGTGTCATGATCCCAGCGTCCTGGGATTGAGTACCACATCGGGCTCCCTGCTTGGCGGGGAGCCTGCTTCTCCCTTTGCCTCCACCTGCCTGTGCTCTCTCTCTCTGACAAATAAATAAATAAAATCTTAAAAAAAAAAAAAAAGAAGTGGAGATTAGGACACAGGTACATTCACAGGGAGAAGGTAGCCATCTAGAAGCCAAGGAGAGAGGATTAAGAAGAAACCAATCCTGTTGGCACCCTGATCTGGGACTTCCACCCTCTAGAACTGTGAAAAAATAAATTTCTGTCCTTCCAGCCACCTAGTCTGTGGTATTTTGTTATCACCGCCCTAGCTCACTAACATGTGGGACATGAGAGAGTGACAGGAATCACTGATGGTGCCCAGTAATGGGGTCTGTTTTATGTCAT